GGTATCCTAGATTTGGTGTCCATCTATATCTTGTGAAATTAGTTTTTTTTCACCATTTTGATTAAATATGAGTAATCTGGAGTTCCACAACATAAAACTTTGTTCAGATGACCTATGAAAAAACATGTTTTTCACTGTATAAGTACAATGCATTATAATGAATTGATATTTTGTTCAAAGACCTACTTGTGTCTCTCCAAAGAAGGACTAAGAGAAGGATCTACCAGTTTACTTCTCCCTTCAGTGCTCATGTATAGTGTTTCCTCTCCTTCCCTTACATTACAAGTGAAGATACCTACCTTCATGAACATGTAGAATTATCAATGAATTTGGAATCCAGGACATTTATTTATGTAGGAATAAATTAGTTATTTACATGGTAGGTAATAGGTAGATATACCTCTTGTTGATTGAGGTAGTTGTGGAATAAAAATATGAACTTTAAAAACCTACAGGAAAATCAATCCAAAAACACAAAAAATTAGAACTATCATAGAGTCAACAAACCATTAATCTATGGAACTATATTAGGTACTAACCAATAAAATACAGTTTGATAAAAACATAGAAGCAGCAAAATTATGAATCTATATTTCCGAGATACAATTTGAAATACAAAGGATATGTTCAACTACCTAAATAATCATTGATATCTCCTTCAACTTGAATTCAATTTCAAGGAATGAACATAAACAAGAAAAAACTGATTATATATTATGAATCTGGATTTGGTTAAACATTTTGTAGCTTTTCTCACTCATTTGCAAAAAAGAGAAACACCCATTTTAGATCTTAATGATGGTGAACAAGTCGCAATTAGGAATTGTATCTAGGTTATACCTATGTGTTTGATTTTGAATAGAGGAACACATTACATCTCTCTGGAAAGTGTTGAAAAATATTGGCTTCAAGTTCAGGAAAGATGATCCACGGAGAGGAATGATCCAACTACCTCACATTGCAGTGAAGTGTATCACGTTCCTGCAGACATACTGCCAATTGAAAAATGAAGGTTTAAGACAATTTGTTTCTCTTGATGAGACCTGGATCTTTCAGGATGTCACATTAGGACACTCATGGCAAGACTCCAATGTCAAATGTGTGAAAAGAAACAAAGAAGGAAGGTTCCAGGTATTTTTTATGATTGGAGATGGATTCATTCCTGGTGCAGAATTAGTATTTTCTTCTAAAACTTAACATGAATATCACCATGGAGAAATGAACCAACATAACTTTCTCCACTGGTTTGAAAATCAATTGTTGAAAAATTTGGAAAAACCTACCACAATTGTTATGGATAATGCAAGTCACCACAGTACAATGATGAATGAAATTCCCACTGCAGCCTCAAAAAAGACAGACATACAAGAATGGCTTACCAACAACAGAATTCAGTTTGACTATGAAATGTTGAAGTCACAGTTACTGAATTCGGTCAAATTGTAGGCTATATAATTACTGAAATTATTAATAAAAAAAACTTGACTTATTCAAGATTCAATAAAATACATATGACATTTTTCACACAGAAATTACTCTGTTAGTAAAATGAGTTTCATTAAAATTTGCGTAAAGGACCCCGCATCGCAATAAGGGAGGAAATTGGCTTTCGGTGAATTTTCTCGAATTTTGGATATATTGTAGAACTCGTGATGCTGATCAAATGTCCCAATTATCAACGCTCTAAATTCAATAGTTTGTATTAACAGGGTGCTGAAGTTGACTTTCTCAAAATTTCGAATGGCCATTGTGAAGTTTCCTTTTCGAATACCAAAACCAAATCGACTACGTTTTGTTTGTCTATGTGGCCGGTGAAAATCCACTAGAGCGTTCAATGATATCTGCACGTACTCACGATACACAGAGTTGGTCCAAAAATAGCAAATGTTCCAATCATTTCCGAAAAAGTGAGCGGTTGAAATCAATTCATTTTTGGACATTTCGTTATATACTAATATCAACATCGATTCATGATATTTGATTGGAATCCTGTAAAACTTGGTGAGGAAGTTGATAATTCGTGATGACAATATTTTATGCGATATGTACCCGAATTATACAGGGTGGTTGAGAAAGTAGTAGTGGACTTTTCTTGGAGTTCACGTACTCAGGATTTCTGTCTTGTTTCTCAATCGCTCTGGAGTACGTCAACTCCAAGAAAACTCCACTACTACTTTCTCAACCACCCTGTATAATTCAGGTATTTGCATAAAATATTGTCATCACGAATTATCAACTTCCTCATCAAGTTTTACGGGATTCCAATCATTCGATGGATATGAATATCAGGACGGGTGCGGTTTCATGGAAACTTGAACATCTTGTGTACAATATGTAGTCTGATTCAAAAAATGCAATCATCATGAATCGATGTTGATATTAGTATACTACGGAATGTCCAAAAATAAATTGATTTCAACTGCTCACTCTTTCAGAAATAATTGATACATTTGCCATTTTTGGACCAACTCTGTATATCGTGAGTACGTGCAGATATCATTGAACTCTATAGTGGATTTTCACCGGCCACATGGACAAACAAAACGTAGTCGATTTGATTTTGGTATTCAAAAAGGAAACTTCACTATGGTCATTCAAAATTTTGAAAAAGTCAACTTCAGCACCCTGTATAATACAAACTATTGAACTTAGTGCGCTGATAATTGGGACATCCGATCAGTATCACGAGTTCTACGATACATCCAAAACTCGAGAAAATTCACCGAAAGCCAATTTTCCCCCTATTGCGGTGCGGGGTCCTTTGTTCTTTTTTTAAGTTTTTCAATTACTATGGATTTTCTTCGAGTAAGGGCCAAGGCGATTTGAAATATGGCTAAAATGTTCTTTAATTTCTAGGAACAAGCCTCCCCTCTGTTTATATGGCAGACACTCTTGCAGGACAGTATGGTCAGGTACTGAGACTTCCACCATACCACTGTATTTTCAACCCAATTGAAATGATATGGGGGATCACCAACACTTATTATAGAGATCATGTTGGCCAGCATCGGAGTTCTGTGGTAAAATCTCTGGATATGTGGAAAGAGTCTCTGAGGCAAGATACTCCATAAATATGGGCCAATAGTGTTCGCCATGCTGAACAAATTATTCAAAGTTGGTGGGAGAGAGAGAATATTTTGGATTTACAAGATATTCCACGAGTGATTATAAACGTAGGAGAGGATGACTCTGATGATAGTGAGAATGATTTTGATGACAGTGAAGAAGATCAAATGACATTTGAAATCTTTTAGTGTGCTATATATTGGGGTTAGAAAATTGTATTATTTAGTGTAAGATTATTTCTGTAGATTAGGGTTAGAAAATTGTATTACATAGTGAATTATATAGTGTTGGTTTCATGAGTTTTTGTGGGTTTTCCTCATGAATTATATTGAGAATATTGAAGTAAGAACAAATCTTGTTGTCTATTTCATAATTTCCAATATAAGTAGATGGACCACTATCTATTTTCCCACGAAATAAAATCAATTGATCGAATTTCTATTTTTCTAACATTCAAAACGATTAGATAACCTTAAAATTGAATTCGAAGTTTTTATCATTTTCACTCAGTAAATGTGAATATTGATCAGTTTTATTAAGAAAAATGAATTTGAGCCATAATTGTGTATTGGTAGGAGAATAAGTTATTTTTAATTTTTATATCTGTAATTGTTTCTTGATGTTGTTATGTAATAAATCATTCTTCAAGTTATTATCCTTTTTAAGAATTTCATTATCATTAAATTTCATATTCAGTATATTGTTTAGGTTCATGGTTCTTTAAATACAAATATTGAAGTTCATTTATCAACTTCAAGTGCTGATTTTGAAATATACATGGACGACTTTTGAGTTGGTTGCAAAAAACATTATAACGTCCGACGATCGTAACACTAGATATATCCATATTCGGGCGGTTGGTCATTCAGTCATTTCCTTTCAGCTGGCAACACTGTATGTGTTCACATATTGACGTCACTATCAATCTAGCGTGAAAGCCCTTTAGCTATTCTAATAATATAAAGATGAAAAATTTGATTGTTTGTTTGTATTGAATAGGCTCCGAAACTACTGGACCGATTTGGAAAACTATTTCACCATTAGAATCTTACATTATTCCTGCTGACCATAGGCTACTTTTTACCGTGGAAAAATGCTTCATTCCTACGGGAAAAGGGTTAATAGGATAGGACAATGAGTAGTGAGAATTATCCTTCCATACTTATGATTTTCATATAAATTCTAAACAGCTGAAGCGATTGGGTTCAAATATCATGTGGGTATTTCGATGGTATTCTGGTTAATTTTGAAATACAATTGGGACGCGGTAGGTGGCGCTGCTGTCGGGACGTCGACTACTAGACGGCTTGACCGATTTGGGTTCAAATTTTCATTACGTAAAATAACAAAAAAAAACAAGATACAGAAAGAATGAAACATGGCTAATAGTGGCTATAGGTAGGCACGAAAAATTTTAAAAAATAACAAAAAAATATGTATATTTTTTTTAACTTGATTTTTTGGGATTTTCTCTCCTCGTTTCTATAAAATAAAAATATTCTTATTATTTCAATATATTTGTAGTGGGACAAATCAGATGATTGTTGTTGTTGTCATTGGTTGATCGTTGTTCATAATAAAAGGATTATAACACAATTAGATATGTTTTTTTTTATAATGAAGCAACTTTCCATAAGCAGCAATACTAAAACACACTCTGACGATATATTGCAGAAACAACCATAGTCCAGGACTGAGGTTGTTTCAGAAATAAACGAATATTTAAAATCCTCATAAAACCGACGATGCTCACGGAACTAAGGTTGTTTCTGAATAAAAATGTGTGATACCCCTGAAAATACCATGTTGGTATATATACTCAAAATGACCGAAATGTGACTTAGGTTGTTTCTGAAATAAGCGATTCAAATGTGATCACGATTTGATCAAAACAATCAGATTTTTTTATAAAAAAAAAGATTTTTTGCACATACCGTATCTTGTCCGGGTTTCCATCCGGCCGGACACACTTCCCCGTGCTTGTCCGTGTAGTGGAACGCCTGCACCAATCGGAGCGTCTCATCCACGCTCCTGCCGACCGGTAGATCGTTCATGGTGATCTGCCGGACGATGCCTTTGGGGTCGATTATGAACAGCCCCCTGTCGAAGCAGATGGACATCAGTTATCGAGAGAACTTTTTTATTCGACGAACTTTTTTTTATGGTCTGGTTCCCACGAAAAGGGATATCCTGTAATGTTCAGAGAACATCGTGAGAACCAAGGGAAATAAGGTAAGAATTGGTATTCTTCTTAAATTTCTGGAGGTTATATGCCTCGGGGAACACCTCCCTTGGCAATGTGTTCCAGAGCCTCGCTGTTCGTTGGATGAACGAGTCTTTGGAAAGAGATGTTCTTCAGATCTCCAAAGTGACAAAAGAGATTTTATTCAAGTTTGGTTCGTGAGGAGTCCCCTATGAAAATCAATGGAACATACAAAAACTATCGAAGGTAATACGTCCTTCAAACGTTATAGATACTTTTCGATTTACCGTGAAGACTCTCTCATTTGGCCAGAGTATGAAAATATGACTACAAGTCCTTTAAATTTGATACATAAATTTTAATATTCCATGAATACATTTTCAGTTGGCAAAATCTAAATCCGATCTATGTTGAGTCCCCTATGAAGATTTTGAATTCTCAAAGGTAATACCATACGTTCTTCGAATTGTACCTATACATTTTCATTATCAACTAAAACTCTCTCATTTGACAAAACTATGGAAACAATCTATATCCAGTTCATAGAAAAAAAAAATTATAATGGTCATAATAATAATAATAAAATTAATGAAGGTTATAATTATCATGAGTTTTTTTTAATTTTATGGATGTATTTACAGTTTCCACAAAAACTCTTCCATTTGGCAAATATATGAAAACAAACCGCTTATTTTATCTGAAAGTGGTTTATGAAAATCAAAAATTATCAAAGTTAATGGAACACGAGAAGTGACAGGATGAGGGGTGACATGACATTAGCCATGGAACACAAGAAGTGACAGATGACAAGTGATATGGATCATGGATATAAGAAGTAGCAGATGACAGGAGACAGATGACAAGTGACATATGACAGCCGCAAGGAGCATAGAACACAAGAAATGATAGATGTTAAGTGGCATATAACAGATAACAGCCGACACGTGGGACTCTAGACTCTAGTTCTTCGGGGCCTTCTAGGACATATCCATTCTTCTTCTTTCTGAAAGGTGATGGATGACTTCATATTCACATGACTAGTGACATTTTGTTTCTCACCAGATTCAGGTTGGTATCACTAAAATTGGTAACATATTGTTTCAAGAAATGCCCGTTATCGAATGATCTTGTGAAATTTGCCTCCTTAGTTTGCAGGTGGCCGACGATGACGTCATCCTTATCTCCGATTTCTGTCTGTGAACAATGCCTTCTTTGTTTGCAATATGTCGTCCTCATCTCGACTTCCTAGAACAATGCCGCCTTTGTTCTCTCTTCGCCACTCACAGCATTTCTTGAAATTTCAGCTATTGAGAAATTTGCGACGCAATATACGAGAACAATGCCTCATTTGTTTGCAGGTGGCCGATTATCGGTGTTAGAACAATAGGTCCATGGTTCTGACGCAGGTGGCCGATGAGTCATCCAACAATGCCTCCTCTATTTGTAGGTGGCCGATTACGTAACAACGTCGTCGTATAGTCTTCGTCTTCGTGAGAATAATGGGTCCATTGTTATCTCTCCATTGTTATCTCTATCAGACATATTCAAACCTGTATGCAGGTGGATGACGTCACAATCTCGAATACTATAAAAGGCGGTCAGAACGTTCGTAGGTGTCATTCCATTTTGAACTCTGTCACTGGTCGGTCGATCTGTTCCTGCCTGTTCGGTTGCTCCTGTCTGTTCCATTATATTGTGTGTGTGTGTTGTGTCAGCTGATTTTATTAGGTGAGCTTATTATTTATTTTCATTTGTTTCAAGGCCATGTGGGTCTACCACTTTTGTGACTAGTGTTCAATGATTATTTCATCTCATAGTTGAAGTAGTAGAAAATTTTAATTATTATCAGATGGATGTTTCAGCTATCAACGCTGAAGTTGCTGCATTTAAGCCAAGTGTAGCTCTAAGTAGCTTACCTATTGATCAGTCCCACCCCATTGAAAACATTAGAGTGGTTCGGAAGAGGGTGGTTGGCATCTTCGAGCCTCAGCTGGCGGCTTTCACCCTAGGCAAATACAGCTTGATTCACAAGAGAAGTGACACTTGGCCTAGAGCTCTCTTTAATATTACTGAGAATTAGTGGTGAGTAAAATATTATTTTCTGTTTGATATTTCTCGCAACATGAATAAGAATAGTAGATTCTACTAGTGATGGTATTGTTGAGAAATGTAGAACAGCGGAGGAAGTTTTGAGAAAGAAGAACATATCAGCAGATGAAAGATTATTATGGATCAGGCAAATAGGGGTACATATAAGAGAATTTAACAGGGAAATCGGGACCAATTCGACAGCGGGGGTTTTGAGAAAATTATAAACCAATGTGGGACATTCGAAAAATTTTCAGAGTTTGATTAGGAAGGAGAATCATATTGGGGCGGGACTTGGCAATCGTGAAAATAGTGAAAATACAATGACATGGAGAGTTGTTCCATCTGTTTTTGCGAGTAGAGTTATGACGGGCGTCATAATTAATTTATGTCATGAGGAGTTGATGCAATTTTTGCAGGACGCATCCTCACATTTTCAAAATTCAAATAAGAAAAACTTTGAGAGAATTAACCACGTTGAAAGTCAACACTACCATCTGTGGCGACTTTATCAAAAAATCGGATGACGCGGAGATCATTGAATACAAATATTTCAGTACAAAGAATGCTCCAATGGATGAGGAAACGGATTTAGATTGGTGGTTTGCGGAGAGCGTTATTGATACTATGGTAAATTAACTTTGGGAATTCCAAAATAAGGGTAGAGGGTGGGCATTGCGGGAAATTTCTTCTTCAGAGGTTAATGTTAATAAATTAGAAATTGGCAATGGTTCATCATTCATTGGATTACGTGACCAAATTTCGAAAAAGCAAGGCTGCATCAATGTGAAAAACACTGATGAGGCATGCTTTTTCTGGAGTATCGCTAGCGCTCTACATCCTGCTGACCGTAAGGTAGACAGGCCCAACTCGAATCATTATAGCCAAGTTTTGAATACCGCAGGCTTGGATACACCCGTCACTGTCAACAAAATTCCTAAATTTGAAAAACTCGATGATATTTCGGTGGAAGTTTACGCCTTGGAACTGATTCATGTGAAAAAGAAAGAGTATTTTGAAGTAGTACCCATAAAACTCACGAAACATAAGCCGCCCAGACATGTCAATCTACTTCTCATTTAAAGTGAATATTTCCCAAAGCCCAATGATCATGATGCCTTGCCTGAAGATGATTACGATGAAGACATGAGGTATCATTATTGTTCAATTTAAGACATGTCCAGACTGCTAACTTCACAAGTCAATAAAAATCATAGGAAAAAACATTTCTGTGATAGATGTCTAAATTATTTTTCAAGCGAACCAAAATTGGCAGAGCACAGTGTTTTATAGGACAATGTTAACGAATGTAGAATTTCTTTCCCCAAATACGATTCAGTAATCTTCGAAAATCATATTTATAAGCAAAAGGCCGAATTCATCATCTACGGTGATTTAGAATCGGTAGGTCCTGACTGCATGGATTTGATGCCTTGCCTGAAGATGATTACGATGAAGACATAAGGTATCATTATTGTTCAACTTAAGACATTTCCAGACTGCTAACTTCACAAGTCAATGAAAATCATAGGAAAAAACATTTCGGTGATGTCTAAATTATTTTTCAAGCGAACCAAAATTGGCAGAGCACAGTGTTTTATAGGACAATGTTAACGAATGTAAAATTTCTTTCCCCAAATACGATTCAGTAACTTCGAAAATCATATTTATAAGCAAAAGGCCGAATTCATCATCTACGGTGATTTGAAATCGGTTTTGGAGCACTGATGACAAAGTCATGAGTCATCGAGGTCCTGACTGCATGGATTGGTTGGCCACAGAAATGAGAGATGCCGGAAAATTTGTAGTCTAAAATCAAAGACATTGTTCCTCTGACTCATTCCCCACATAAGGTAACACACTGTCATATCTGTCAAAAGACGTTTGCGGGCACTGAAATCATGTTGAAAGACCACCAACATCTCACTGATGCCAACAGGACGTGGGCGCATAAATCTTGTGATTTGGGGTACCGCAAGCCCTTCGTAGTGCCCATAGTGTGTACAGAAGCTCTTAATCTCAGGGTTGATTTTAATGGGGGTTTGGCTGACATTCTGAGGACGTCGAAGGTATGCGAATTTGTGCTACAACTATAATTGCATTGTCTTTACCATGGTATTCCAGGATCCTATATGCAACATGTAGGTTTTCATGTATTGTGCAGCCACGTGCAGATAACAATCACCTATATTTTAAATAACTTACCTTAAATTAAATTGACCAGGCCTCAAGTGCGAACGTCGTGATGTCCTACCACTTGTTGAAAACCAACAAGGTTCAATATAAATTTAGTTGAACTCTATGGAGCAGCAACCATTTTCCATCAAGGTTGAATCAGAAAAGGAGACCTCAGCCACAAGGTACAATTATTGTGAATAAAACATAAGTTACAAAAAATGTGTAGTTCATCCTGTTTTTATGCCTTCTCCTTAAAATCATTTGAATAATGCTCGCGCCATCAACAGTAACCTCGTATACAACCAAGTATACACTGATATGCATTAAGTGTGGACAACCCACATAACGCATATGGGTAACTGATCTCTGAATGATTATTTCTATGCAGGTGACACAACTCTGGTGCACCTGAAATAGTGAAAATAACACGAAGACGGCGAATCACGGTGACAAGTGACCTTTGATATTTCGCTGCCATCGGCGGGATAATCAAATAAAGGGAGGGGATATTGCTATTTTTGATATAGATAACTATTATATTTATATACTCATGTCCAAACTAGACGTTTTAGAAGTGGTGCTATTCACCCGGAATTGGTTTCAGCACAAGTGTTCCACAATTTTTCCGGATATGATTCTCATTTTCTTCTGAGAGAGATTGCCAAACGTGGACAGGTGAGCGTACTTCCGATGAATATGGGAAAATGCATTTCTTTCACCCAACACAATACAGAAACCGGTATTAAATTCAGATTCATCGACTCTTTGGGATTTATGGGTGCCACTTTGGATCCATTGGCATCTAAGTTGACGAAGGATAACTTTCAAAATTTGAAAAAAGAATTCAGCCAATTAGACGCTTCCAAATTCGGTCTACTCAAAAAGAAAGGTTTTTCCATACGGCCACATTAATAGTCCAAGCAAATTAGACGAAACTAAACTTTCACTCATTGAGAAATTCTACAATAAATTAAAACGATAAAAATATTGATGATGTGAAATACGCTGATGGGCAACAATTTGGATGTCAAAATTTAGGTGAATATTTGGATTTATACATGAAAACAGATATTCTTCTTCTGACAGATGTTTTCGGAAAATTCAGAGAAGCTGCCTTGAAGACGTATACCTTAGATCCGGCTTGGTATTACACCTTACATCCTTTCAGGTTATACGTGGAATTAATTGAATGCTAAAGTACACGAAATGTTCGTTACAAATTTTGAAAGATGTTGACATGCTAATGTTGTCGAAAATGCGATAAGAGGCGGTATTTCGGTTTGTTGTAACAGCTACTCTGAAGCCAACCATAAATACACTTCAACATATGATCGTACTAAACCATCAACGCATCTCCGCTACTTGGACTTTAACAATCTATATGGATGGGCAATGTCAAAACCCCTCCCTTATGGAGGGTTTGAATGGGCAGATGCCAACATTGACATCTTATTGATTCCTGATGATGGGCCAGAAGGATATATCATGCAAGTAGATTTGGAATATCTGGAAAACTTGCATGATCTACGAAAAAACTTCCCGTTCTATCCCGAACACCGCAAGCCACCTAATTCCAAGTTGGCAAAATGGAGGACCACGTTACACCATAAAAAGGAATACATCACCCACTATGTTGACTTGGAACAAGCTCTGGCTAATGGCTTGAAGCTCACCAAAATTCACAAAGTAGCGAAATTTAAACTGTCCACGTGGTTGAAGCCATACATTTATATGAATACTGGATTGAGGGCTGCAGCCACCAACACATTCGAGAAAAACCTATATTAACTGATAAATAATGCCGTGTTTGAGAAGGCGATGGAAAACATCCATAAACATCACGTTGTCAAATTATGTAGATCGTGGAATGGACGCTATGGGGCTAAAAATCTAATCGCGAGCTCAAAGTTCCGTGGCCGGACAATTTTGGGTGACGATCTGATTGCTATAGAATTGCTTAGGAATTTCAGGGTAAGTTTGGTAAAGGTAGGCAGCATTGATATTTTTGTGTCCACACATTGAAAAATATTCTCGAATTTTTTGTTGCTCATCACACGCCACATCGTCAAATATTAAAATTGGGTTGGGCTTATCATTTAATCGTTGACTCTGAACATAAAATATCCGATCTCCTTGGTTGATACAACGACTTGTAGTACACGTAGACATTTTTTTATATAGCGCCATTTCGATCGAAGAGTAACGATAGCGTGACCTTGAAACAAAGTGTTGTCAATTTTAGTAATACCAACCTGAATCTGGTGAGCAACAGAAAGTAACAAGTCGTGTTGTCAATTTTAGCAATACCAACCTGAATCTGGTGAGCAACAAAAAGTAACAAGTCATGTGATTGTGACGTCATTTACCACCTTTCAGAAAGAAGAAGAATGGATATGTCCTAAAAGGCCCCGAAGGTCAAGAGTCCCACGTGTCGGCTGTCATCTGTTATATGACACTTAACAACTGTCACATGTTACTTCTTGTGTACCATGCTCCTTGCGGCTGTCATATGTCACGTGTCACTTGTTATCTGTCATTTGTCACTTCTTGTGTTCAATGCCCAATGTTATATGTCACCTGTACTTTTTCGTGTTCCATGCGCCATGTCATGTCACTTATCACCTGTCGTCTGTCACTTCTTGTGTTTCATGATCCATGTCATCTGTCACCTGTCGTTTATCATCTGTCATTTCCGGCGGCCATCTTGTAACGTCTATTCCGACAGCGGCCATTTTGGGCTGGTGCGAACGTAGGTATACTACTCATGAGTCATTCATATTTTATCAGTACAATGTATTTTCCACTTCTTCATTTGGGAAAAATGTGAAAACTGATGATAAAATCTAATATTTATATGAATGCTTTTGCCTCAAGTAAAGAAATTTGAGTGATGAGAATAGAAGAATCAGTTGTATTTGGAAAGGTTTTTTTTTAGTATTTCAACAAAGGACAACAATATCCACATTGAATTAAATTGCGGCCTTTGATAATTGATCAAAGGGTTCTAGAAATGATGTGATGTGTGTTGCATACATTTGCAGTACCTACAAGAGAGATGGGAATGTGTACATACAATTTTTGAGTCTTAATTAGGAAATGGAACAGTTCAACAGTTGTATCATGTAAAGTGATTGTTACACATGATATTGGGTGGAAGAATCAAGAAGTCATATGTAAATGAATATAACAAAGTTTGATAATCCAATGAAGACAAGGTTTCTGTCAGGAAATACCAGTTTCATCAGCATAATATGCATCTTGCTATTAGTTGAAATCAATAAAATACTAAATTCTGACAAAAGAAAAAAATAAACACAAGAACATTTTCTTCAAATATCTTACCTCAGAGTATGTCCTAGGTCATCCAAAAACACCCCATAGTCCCTGGATATGCTGTGATTCAAGTCGGACAGCAATGGGAAGTTGACTTTTCCCAAGCCACCCTCCTTCCTAGGAGTATTAATCCACGCCAAGTGGGTGAAGTGGGAATCCACAGAGCAAGCCACCACTTCAGTGTTGATCCTCTGGAATTCTTCAATCCTATCACTGAAAGCTAGGATTTCTGTCGGGCAGACAAAAGTACTGAAAAAGTAATCATTAATGGTAGTCAAGGTTCTTATGAAACTCTGGGAAAACTTTGTAGACCTTTGGCTAGGTAACTGCATATGTTGAATTTTCATACCATGTAAGAGAAGTTCAACCCTTGCAGTTTGAAAATACCATTAGAATTTTCTAGATATTATTGAGTAGGTACATTAGTAAATGTTGAACTTGGTCCAATCTTGGGTCCTATGCTTCAGTAGGTAGTTATAATAACCATTTTTTCCAAAACATTGGCCAATATTTGTCAGTAAACATTTTTCTACAAAATTTTTTCTATCAAAATTGATGGTATTGAACCTGGACAGTTTTCCTATAATATACTGATACTGGGTGATTTTTTCAAAGGATAGAATGCTCTATATTTTGATTTAGGTTGTAATTATACTACCTATTTGTTCATGAATCTCTTTGCAACTTACAACACCTGAAAAGTATTTTCTTCTGATCATGACTGTAATTATAGGTTAAATACTTAATATGAGAATCTATAATACACTGTATTTCATCAATCAACTTACAAATCCAGAGGGTAAAAGAAGAAAACTAAATATTTTCCAAGGTAATCAGTTGACTTGAGCTGGATGAATTTCCCATCAAAAACAGCAGTACTCTCCCAGAATGGGGCTGGTTTTGATACTATAAAACAAACAATGAGTAAGTACATAGAATGAAATGAGTCTCGAATGATTATTGCAAAAATTCAGAATCCAACAGGTGTTATCTACAGTGCTGCTCAATAAATGAGTGAGGACTATTAAGGTAAAATCGGTTATAATATTAACTTCTTCATGGTCGTGTTGTGAAATACATTCAAGCTGATATTTGGGTGTATTTAAGCGCGGGTTCACTTACCTATTGAGCAGAGCTGTACCTATAACTAGACTGGGACTGGAGGTTTTCAAATTTCAATGAGTGAAAGGAAAAACTTACTGACTGCCTTCGTGAACTGCAGCTTGTGTTCAGCCGGGTTCGCCGTATGTGGGTAAACATTACCTCCGGCATACGTCTGACAAGATTCGTCTTCAGGACCAGGAACGGCCCCAGACAACCAGAAAAATTGCAAGCAAACTAGCAAACCGTTCAGCCACATAGTAGTTGGAGTTTTTTCACGAAATTATGCACTACGTTATTCAACCACCCTCTTGACTTGATTTATCTAATAAATATATCGAGAACAGATAACACTTTATGATAATATTCAAATTCGCAGTACAAGTGCAGAGATACACAAACAACAAACAACTCACCTCACCTGTGACCTGACAGTCATGTCATCTGTCGCTTCTGTCACTCTTGCACTTTCTTCAGCCACAGAACTAAAACACAGAGAGTGTGTTTTAGTTCTGTGCCTTCAGCAGGAGTTTTAGAGATGATGAGAGGAACAAAAACATCGATACTCAGAATCCTATGAGGAAATCGCGACAGTACCGAGAAGGTAATGCTGCTCAAGATTGATAAACTAGACAGGTTGCCTCAGCCTTTCAGCGTGTACTGACATCACGCTGCCTGCCATAAATCTTTTAAACATCTAATCTTCCAATGTGGTTCCCATTGATTATTTACAGAATTTACGCCTAAAACACATGATTTGCATAATAGTATTATCAAGACTGAACCATTGAGACTCCCCAATACCATATGGAATTAAACATTCATATGCTACAGGCTTAAAAATTAAATTGAAGAACAGTTAAACCCGTGACACGACTGTACACACACTCAGCCTAAGATGCCTGTATAAGCATTTCAACTCCGCCTTAGCCCTGTGCAGGGCGGCTGGACCAACCCATTCCCCCGTCGCTCGCAGGAGAAGGAAAACTTTTTGCTTTCTTCGTAGATGAACAGAGATCGGAAGAGTGGAAGATTTCTAAATCTACCGCCAGTAGGCTGTTAAATTTTTATCGCCCCACTGACCTCCGAGATTTGATACCCTAGTTCACGCAGTGATGTTACCTACATTTTTATTCTGTCAATAATATTCACAGTAATAGATCAAACACTGGAAAAGTAATGTGGCTAGAACATTATCAGACTACACCTTTTCTACGTCGTCAAAGCAACAAGTTATGATAGGTTTATCTATGATCAAATATAAAATATAAGTGAAGCCTTGTACTATTTCAATTCTGTTGACTGATGGATTCGTAATAGTATCTTTCAAGTTTCGCAGTAGCCTAGTGGTATAAGCGTCCGTTCGATCGCAAGTTCGAGTCCGACTCCCGACTATAGAGAGTTGAAGTAATCACTGTACGTAGACCTCCACGTAGACGTTAACGTACGAAAAATAACGTTTACATATTGTCGTTAAATTGAGATGAAGTCGCCACTTTGGTCGTCACTGTCATCATAACGTAATAATATATTTTGTTTTCGGTTTGTATTGGTCATTTTTGGTTGTGTGTATAGATTCGAACATTTATTCCTGTCAAAATTAGAGGACTCCTTGATGCAGAACTCGTTGGTGATCTCGAATTTGATAATTTTGACTCATCGGTATATTTCGAGTATAGTTTGTTAACGTACGTTGATATTTAGAGAGTTGAAGTAATCACTGTACGTAGACCTCCACGTAGACGTTAACGTACGAAAAATAACGTTTACGTATTGTCGTTAAATTGAGATGAAGTCGCCACTTTGGTCGTCAATGTCATCATAACGTAATAATATATTTTGTTTTCGGTTTGTATTGGTCATTTTTGGTTGTGTGTATAGATTCGAACATTTATTCCTGTCAAAATGAGAGGACTCCTTGATGCAGAACTCGTTGGGGATCCCAAATTTGACAATTTTGACTCATCGGCATATTTCGAGTATAGTTTGGTTAACGTACGTTGATATTTAAGGTATACGTGAAGGTACGTGAGATAACGTCCACCCGTAAGCCCACTAACAACGCAAACGTGAAGAATTGGAAAATGCGCATGCGTAGCTGTCAATTTCTACGTTTACGTTAACGTTCATGACAACACTTCAATTCTCTATTTAAGATATACGTGAAAGAACGTGAGATAACGTACACCCGTAAGCCCACTAACAACGCAAACGTGAAGAATTGGAAAATGCGCATGCGTAGCTGTCAATTTCTACGTTTACGTTAATGTTAATAACAACACTTCAACTCTCTTATATGTTTTTTTATTTCCAACCGAACAGTGTCGGCAGATAGTCGGGCGGCCTACTAGTGGCCGGTGCGACACGGGCTAGCCGGGCCGACGATGTATCATGATTGTGGCCCGCTGATGTTGACTGTCGGCAGTTTTTGGAGGGCGTCTAAAGGCCCGCGCGAAACATGTTTGCTGGGATATACCCTGAAGCCAGGGGACTCCCATACTATCAAATGGAGGAAATAGGGGATTAGACCCAGTAGTAGTAGTAGTAGTAGTCGGTGGGGAGGCTGTAGCCAAGGAAGTAGGCCCCGATAGGCCCTTTTTGCTAGAGATTAGGCCCAAATGATGGCCATAAAGCTTCTCGACCACGTCGACGATAAAAAACTGTGATAAAGGCTAGCTAGGCTTTTCATGAAATTGTGGATTTCATATGAGACTATCACAGATGAAGATCAATAAGGTAGTTGAATAAAAAAAGTACAATACTTGTTGAGTATATTATGAACAAGGTTAATTTACTTCTCAGAGAAGAATCACATTAATAATTAATAATAGTTGTTATTATTCTATATACAACAATAAATTTGAATGGGAGAAATTATAAATTCCAATTAATTGAAAGAATAAACTGTGGGTTGAAACTCATTTTGATAGGATGCTAACCAACAATAACAGCATAGTTGATAATGAACTGATCAAAAAACAGAAAAAAAAACGAATTAAAATTAATGAAAGGAATATCACATTTTTTTCAAACCTGAAACTTGATAGTTTCACACAAAAATCAACATCAATATTCAACATTGAATAACACTCTTGGCCCACTTACATTCATATTTTGAAAAGTAATCACATTATTCAAAAACCTAACCTAACAAAGCCAGTTCAAGCGAAACTTGTTAAAAAAAGGCCAACCATCTATATTTCCAAGTAAAAAATCATAATCACCTTTATAAAGCGTTGCATAAACAAAATATGTTATAAATGGGAAGTTCCAGTAATAACTAATTACACGACACAAGTGTAAAGCTATACACCAATTCTATTGTGACTTTCTGAATTTCCAAAACGTAATAACGGAGACCATTTTTCCTAAGCAATCTAACCTAACTCGGCCTAAATGAACATTCTTCGTGAAGGACCCCAGCCACAGAATAATTGTGGCAGTTCACTGTGCTATTCGCTCACTTGAAAATGTTGACTATGAAGAAAGAAGAAATATATCGCGTGTTGTCAGTGATGTAGGCGCGAGAATTCAGAGAGTCACAGTTGAAAATGGTGTAACTAGATGCTTGTGACTAAAACGCAGGAGAGGATGAGCCGTATCCTCATTGGTTATTATAAGTCACGTGATCTATTGCGATTCCTTTTTTAACCATTGATTTCTAGCGAAAATACAGAATCTCGTGATCTAGTTTTTTTGCGAATGAATGTAACCATCACAGACAGCACTGGAATATTCCGAATATCCACCGAATATTCCTAGAATATATATATATACCCCTGGAACAATCAAGGGATAATATTCCGATGTGAATATTTCAGTGATATTACAAAATAATATACAAGAAATATTCCCGCTGGAATATTATGCAGAAGCTAATATTCTAAGAATATTCTATAGTTGGGTTGTTCAGGGAAAACTCAGGTACGAATCTTCCAGGAATATTCCTAATTGGATATTCTGTATCGTATATTCATGAAATATTCCATGAATATTCCCATTTTTTTAATGAAACGGTATATTAACACCAATAACTATTTCAGAGATGTGAGTTTCAAACATTTATTATATGTGACGAGATTTTTGAAGAAAAAGCGTCAATGATCCCAATTCTGTACAACACTTTTTCAGGAAATTGTCATGTAAAATATTATTTAATTCGATTACTGGTTTGGGGCACCTTCTTTTATTCGTATTCCCGGATTATTCCTAGAGTTTTTCGAGTATTATGTGAATATTCCTAGAATATATCCTAGAGATCCATAGAATATTCTCATGGACATATTTTATGAATATTTGAGGAATTCTCATTTGCATATTGAGAATATTCCACTGATGTTCTAGAATATCCCTGATTATTCCTAGAATATTCCAAAAGAAATATGATAGGGAGGTTCGTGGAATATCTGGTGCTGTCTGGGAATGAGGACTATTCCAGGAGAATGTGTCCAAATATACTGAGGAATCATGCTAATCTTCATTCACTTTTTAGGTCTACTAGGTACATTACCTAGATATGTTTTTAGGCTTCTTAATATCATCATGATATAGGTGAATGTTTGTATTGAAATTCAATGACCCTACAAAAACGATTTCGAAATTGATAATACCATTTCATAGAGGAAAAAAAGTGGAAACAATAACAGGAAAAATGAACAATTTTTTCCGATATCTCCGAAACGATATGGAATTTTTCACTGAGCACAATAAGGTGAAATTTCGCTTCAATTGAATACAAGGAGTGCATCGAGCAATATGAAAAAGGTGGATTATAAGAACGAGCCACGGTACTGGATTGAGTCGAAAAAATAAAAATAAGAATGAACTGGATTTTCCCATTCATCAAAAACGAAACATACAGACTAGAAATGGGAAAGCTATAAATTGTCTTTCTCCTTAGAAATGGTCCCTAAACTTAATTGTTATGGATGATAAAATTAATCGTCACTTTTGGACATGAACTTTTTTTTGAACATTTTGTATTTTTAGTAGATACCAATCAAATATTCAATTGAAATTAACGCACGAAAATAGGTCATTCAATTCATGTTTTCAACCAATTTTAAAATAGTGCCTATTTAATATGTTAATGAAAATTTGATTTTCATAATAAATTCAGTTTCTATCTTTTCGATTGCATAGGAGGAAATCCTTACTATGTTCGTGATAAATCGTGCATACTTGAGTTAGTGCGAAAGCATGTAGGCATATTGACTAATACTACTTGAGAACGAAAAACTCTAACCACAGCCCAGATTCATGAAGCCTTTTTGAATCACATACAAATTTTCGATGTTTTGAAATGGCGATTATTCGCCACGTTGAACGGAATTTTCATATGCCATTTTGAACCATTCGTTGATTTTCTGTTCCTCAGCAGAATACAGTGTGTCCCACTTACCATGCT